ACAGCAATCTTTAAGTCATACCAGAGATTCTGAATTGGATTGAGGTCTGGGATTTGACTACGCCATTCCAAGACATTTAAATGTTTCTCCTTAAACCACTCGAGTGTTGCTTAAGCAGTGCGCTTAGGGTCATTGTCCTGCTGGAAGGTGAACCTCTGTCCCAGTCTCAAATCTCTGGAAGACTGAAACAGGTTTCCCTCAAGAATTTCCCTGTATTTAGCGCCATCCATCATTCCTTCAATTCTGACCAGTTTCCCAGTCCCTGCCAATGAAAAACATCCCCACAGCATGATGCTTGATGGTGTTCTCGGGGTGATGAGAGGTGTTGGGTTTGTGCCAGACATAGCGTTTTCCTTGATGGCCAAAAAGCTTAATTTGAGTCTCATCTGACTAGAGTACCTTCTTCCATATGTTTGGGGAGTCTCCCACATGCCTATTGGCAAACACCAAATGCTGTGGAGCTTTGCAGCTCTTTCAGGGTTATCTTTGGTCTCTTTGTTGCCTCTCTGATTAATGCCCTGCTTGCCTGGTCCGTGAGTTTTGGTGGGCGGCCCTTTCTTGGCAGGTTTGTTGTGGTGCCATATTCTTTCAGTTTTTTTATTATGGATTTAATGGTGCTCCGTGGGATGTTCAAAGTTTTGGATATTTTTTACAACCCAACCCTGATCTGTACTTCTCCACATCTTTGTCCTTGACCTGTTAGGAGAGCTCCTTGGTCTTTATGGTGCCACTTCCTTGGTGTTGCCCCTTATTTAGTGGTTTTGTAGACTCTGGGGCCTTTCAGAACAGGTGTATATACAGTGGGGGAAAAAAGTATTTAGTCAGTCACCAATTGTGCAAGTTCTCCCACTTAAAAAGATGAGAGAGGCCTGTAATTTTCATCATAGGTACACGTCAACTATGACAGACAAAATGAGAAAAAAAATCAAGAAAATCACATTGTAGGATTTTTAATGAATTTATTTGCAAATTATGGTGGAAAATAAGTATTTGGTCAATAACAAAAGTTTCTCCATACTTTGTTATATACACTTTGTTGGCAATGACACAGGTCAAACGATTTCTGTAAGTCTTCACAAGGTTTTCACACACTGTTGCTGGTATTTTGGCCCATTCCTCCATGCAGATCTCCTCTAGAGCAGTGATGTTTTGGGGATGTCTCTGGGCAACACAGACTTTCAACTCCCTCCAAAGATTTTCTATGGGGTTGAGATCTGGAGACTGGCTAGGACACTCCAGGACCTTGAAATGCTTCTTACGAAGCCACTCCTTCGTTGCCCGGGCGGTGTGTTTGGGATCATTGTCATGCTGAAAGACCCAGCCACGTTTCATCTTCAATGCCCTTGCTGATGGAAGGAGGTTTTCACTCAAAATCTCACGATACATGGCCCCATTCATTCTTTCCTATACACGGATCAGTCGTCCTGGTCCCTTTGCAGAAAAACAGCCCCAAAGCATGATGTTTCCACCCCCATGCTTCACAGTAGGTATGGTGTTCTTTGGATGCAACTCAGCATTCTTTGTCCTCCAAACACGACGAGTTGAGTTTTTACCAAAAAGTTATATTTTGGTTTCATCTGACCATATGACATTCTCCCAATCCTCTTCTGGATCATCCAAATGCACTCTAGCAAACTTCAGACGGGCCTGGACATGTACTGGCTTAAGCAGGGGGACACGTCTGGCACTGCAGGATTTGAGTCCCTGGCGGCGTAGTGTGTTACTGATGGTAGGCTTTGTTACTTTGGTCCCAGCTCTCTGCAGGTCATTCACTAGGTCCCCCTGTGTGGTTCTGGGATTTTTGCTCACCGTTCTTGTGATCATTTTGACCCCACGGGGTGATATCTTGCGTGGAGCCCCAGATCGAGGCAGATTATCAGTGGTCTTGTTTGTCTTCCATTTCCTAATAATTGCTCCCACAGTTGATTTCTTCGAACCAAGCTGCTTACCTATTGCAGATTCAGTCTTCCCAGCCTGGTGCAGGTCTACAATTTTGTTTCTGGTGTCCTTTGACAGCTCTTTGGTCTTGGCCATAGTGGAGTTTGGAGTGTGACTGTTTGAGGTTGTGGACAGGTGTCTTTTATACTGATAACAAGTTCAAACAGGTGTGATTAATACAGGTAACGAGTGGAGGACAGATGAGCCTCTTAAATAAGAAGTTACAGGTCTGTGAGAGCCAGAAATCTTGCTTGTTTGTAGGTGACCAAATACTTATTTTCCACCATAATTTGCAAATAAATTCATTAAAAATCCTACAATGTGATTTTCTGTATGTTTTTTCCTCAATTTGTCTGTCATAGTTGACATGTACCTATGATGAAAATGACAGGCCTCTCTCATCTTTTTAAGTGGGTGAACTTGCACAATTGGTGGCTGACTAAATACTTTTTTCCCCCACTGTATACTGAGATCATGTGACACTTAGATTGCACACAGGTTGACTTTATTTAACTAATTATGTGACTTCTGAAGGTAATTGGTTGCACCAGATCTTATTTAGGGGCTTCATAGCAAAGGGGTTGAATACATATGCACACACCACTTTTCCGTTATTAAATTTGGACTATTTTGTGTATGTCCATTACATGAAATCCAAATAAAAATCAATTTAAATTACAGGTTGTAATGCAACAAATCAATGTGTCACAGTCACCACCTGAATAAAAAAGAGAGGCCATTCTTCAAGGGGCCTTTAGTCTGTCAAGAATAATGTTCTTTCCTGAAAGGGCGTGCAATTGAGGCTGTAATCGCTGCCAAAGGTGCTTCAACAAAGTACTGAGTAAAGGGTCTGAATACTTATGTAAATGTAATATTTCAGTTTTGTATTTGTAATACATTTGCAGAAATGTCTAAAAACCTGTTTTTGCTTTGTCATTATGGGGTATAAACCATTTTAGAATAAGACTGTAACGTAACAAAATGTGGAAAAAGTCAAGGGGTCTGAATACCTTCCGAATGCACTGTACATTCTCTAACACTGTAAATACAAAGGGGATGAATTTCTCAAAGATAGCCCAGACCTTTCCAATATAACCACTTTTCACACACACGCTTACTTTCCACTCTGGGTCATTTTTTAAATCCTGACTTACTCAAACTTTTGCTTAAATCCACTTTTGACATAATTGCATGATTTAAGTAGATGTTCAAGTTACGTTAGCACATCTTGAGGCCTGAGTGAACTTTTGAAGAGATAGTTGCATGAAACAAAATGCAGCCAGGTCCCACCAGATCAACTTCAGTATTAGACGTTTGTCTAGGTCCCCAGGATGTCGGGAAATGCAATTCAGTACTGTTCACTAGGGACAAAGCGAGCGCCTATTACTATCTAGTAGGCTTCCTAGGGCATGGTAGATGGAGATAGAGGAAGGGTTTAAACCGTGAGCTATGGTTCTGAAGCTCATGGGTTCAATCCCAATGCTAGGCACTTGTTTGTATTTATTTTCTGTTTTAACCCAATCCCAAACCTTAACCCTTACCTTAACCAGTCTGAATTAATCCCTAAATGTAAAAGTCAAATTAGTTATGTTTTTATCCCTATCCCAAACCTTACCTACTTTCACATCAGCATTGATGTTTATCAATGGGTGTGGCTGGTACCTGTAACTGGTACTGTTAAGTACCTACTGCTCTGGAAGCTGTCAGATGACTGAAATGACAAACTACCAACTGTCATTTTGGGATATAGCTGCTTACCTATAATACATGTGGAGGAGGTGTGTGTTTGTGTATGTTTTGTGTGTGTATAAAGGGATCGAGAGATCCCCTCCAGCGTTTTCATGCAGCAGCATACAAGCCATTTTTGGACTCACCTTGTTGTGCTGTGCTGACTTGAACAGGAATGTGGCGCGGCGGTCCTTTGTGGGCAAATTTTGTCATCAAACTTTGTCATCAAAATCTGGCATTCTCTGGATTTATGGTGCTCTCAAGACAACTGGGAACTCTGAAAAAAACAAGGTTGAATCATGACGTCAGTGATCTTCAGGTCGGAGCTCTAGAAAGAGGCCCGATTTCCCGACTTGGAATTCCGAGTCGGATGACCGTTCAAAACCAATTTTCCCAGTCGGAGCTCATTTCTTTCAGAGTTCCCAGTTGTCATGAACTCACTGAAGTCTGAGATTTCCCAGTTCCGAGTTTCCAGTTGTTTTGAGCATGGCAGAAGTCATGCTGGATTGACAGCATGGCCAACGTATTCAACCTTTTCTGGCCCATCGTGTTGAATGTTTATCCTTTTAAGCTTGTAAAAGAGACCCTTAAACACAGACCTGGACCACACAGCGACTCCACTGAATAGCTGGCTACTGATTCCTTCCAAACCACTCAATGTTGAATTTGCGATTTCCAAATTCTTGTGTAATGTTTACGTCCAATGGCCGATAAGCACCGATAGGTTTTATCTATCATTTCTCTTCATATGACAAGGATTGAAAAGGATTTGCCAGTAGATTGCTAGCTAATATTTTTTAAGTATGATGTTGACATAATCAGTCCAATCAAAGCTATGGTAGATATAATGTGATTTGACGTCATTTTGTCTGTTGCCAATGACCTTGAGCCTTCTTGGAAGGGCACTTCTAATGTAACTATATGACAGCACCCAAGGGGCTTGAATTTTCGAGCAACCGTAGATTCTGCGGTGATGTAGTGTCCCCATGTGTGACAGAACACTAAGCCAATCACAGCGCAACTAGAGAACATTACCAAACCCTATGCTCCGTATTTTCCGCTGGCTGCCCCACGACCACAGAAAGCACTGAGCTAGGCTGAAACACCTGCATTTTTGGGCTGCCTTATTAACTCAATGATTTCTATTATTTTTTATATTGTTTGCAAACTGATATGTCACACGTATTAATGCCAAAATAACATGCTAAACAGGTGGGGCTCACCTGAATGACGGGTAGCCACTGAACATGTTAATACACTTTTTTATTTGGAGCTAAAGTTGGAAGGCTAAGTATGGGTGTGGCACTCGATAGGTTTGTCATCTCTGCGGTGAAATGGGGACACTTGCTTCTTTTCATCAACAGCAGGAAGGAGGGATGGAGGGAAGGGAGTGGATGGTTGATAAGAAGGAGGGAAAGAGGAAGAGCAGGTTAACCAAGTGGGTCTGGTTGAAACGAGACCTGTGCCCTGAGGTGCTAACTAGGGCTGTGGCGGTCAAGAAATTGTCAGGCATTGATTGTCAATCAAATAACTGTCGGTCTCATGGTAATTGACCGTTAATTAACTATCCCCCATAGTACAAAAGTTATTCTGTGAAAGAAAGAAATACTCCAAACATATTCTGGGACAGTTGTGGGATGCGATAGATCCCAAATTAATACAATCACTCGCATCAAAAAAACTTTTTTTTAAAGCAATGAGGCTGATGCAACAGATCAGAATGTTTAACTTAAAATGTTGATAAACTAATACGCTATTTCTTCACATTATAAGCGCACATGGAAGAAGGCTATAAGCTCAAATGTTCCAAAATGCAATCAATTAGCGGGAAAACACTTTTCTCGAAAGTGAAGGCAAATGCGATCATGCATGTAATGCTTTATTTAAAAGGTACATATTCATGGTGAAAATTATCTTCCCCAAACTTTAAACTCACGCGCAGCCTCTGTAGCTCAGTTGGTAGAGCATGGCACTTGCAACGGCAGGGTTGTGGGTTCGATTCCCACGGGGGACCAGTATGAAAAATGTATGCACTCACTAACTGTAAGTCGCTCTGGATAAGAGCGTCTGCTAAATGACTAAAATGTAAATGTATGCCTGTTAGGCTCTACACTGGTTAAAAAGTGGATTAATGTGCTTAATTTTAATGGCGTTATTTGGCCACTTTAGTTGTAATACAAACCTTATCAAAACATATACAGTGGCTTGCGAAAGTATTCACCCCCCTTGGCATTTTTCCTATTTTGTTGCCTTACAACCTGGAATTAAAATTGTTTTTTGGGGGGTTTGTATCATTTGATTTACACAACATGCCTACCACTTTGAAGTTGAAAAATATTGTTTATTGTGAAACAAACAAGAAATAAGACAAAAAAACAGAAAACTTGAGTGGGCATAACTATTCAATCTAGCCACTGGGATTTTTGCCCATTCTTCAAGGCAAAACTGCTCCAGCTCCTTCAAGTTGGATGGGTTCCGCTGGTGTACAGCAATCTTTAAGTCATACCAGAGATTCTCAATTGGATTGAGGTCTGGGCTTTGACTAGGCCATTCCAAGACATTTAAATGTTTCCCCTTAAACCACTCGAGTGTTGCTTTGGCAGTACGCTTAGGGTCATTGTCCTGCTGGAAGGTGAACCTTCGTCCCAGTCTCAAATCTCTGGAAGACTGAAACAGGTTTCCCTCAAGAATTTCCCTGTATTTAGCGCCATCCATCATTCCTTCAATTCTGACCAGTTTCCCAGTCCCTGCCGATGAAAAACATCCCCACAGCATGATGCTTGATGGTGTTCTCGGGGTGATGAGAGGTGTTGGGTTTGAGCCAGACATAGCGTTTTCCTTGATGGCCAAAAAGCTTAATTTTAGTCTCATCTGACCAGAGTACCTTCTTCCATATGTTTGGGGAGTCTCCCACATGCCTATTGGCAAACACCAAATGCTGTGGAGCTTTGCAGCTCTTTCAGGGTTATCTTTGGTCTCTTTGTTGCCTCTCTGATTAATGCCCTGCTTGCCTGGTCCGTGAGTTTTGGTGGGCGGCCCTTTCTTGGCAGGTTTGTTGTGGAGCCATATTCTTTCAGTTTTTTAATTATGGATTTAATGGTGCTCCGTGGGATGTTCAAAGTTTTGGATATTTTTTTATAACCCAACCCTGATCTGTACTTCTCCACATCTTTGTCCTTGACCTGTTAGGAGAGCTCCTTGGTCTTCATGGTGCCACTTGCTTGGTGTTGCCCCTTATTTAGTGGTTTTGTAGACTCTGGGGCCTTTCAGAACAGGTGTATATATACTGAGATCATGTGACACTTAGATTGCACACAGGTGGACTTTATTTAACTAATTATGTGACTTCTGAAGGTGATTGGTTGCACCAGATCTTATTTAGGGGCTTCATAGCAAAGGGGTTGAATACATCTGCACACACCACTTTTCCGTTATTAAATTTTTAGAATTTTTTAAAACAAGTTATTATTTTTTTTTCACTTCACCAATTTGGACTATTTTGTGTATGTCCATTACATGAAATCCAAATAAAAATCAATTTAAATTACAGGTTGTAATGCAACAAATCAATGTGTCACAGTCACCACCTGAATAAAAAAGAGAGGCCATTCTTCAAGGGGCCTTTAGTCTGTCAAGAATAATGTTCTTTCCTGAAATGGCGTGCAATTGAGGCTGTAATCGCTGCCAAAGGTGCTTCAACAAAGTACTGAATAAAGGGTCTGAATACTTATGTAAATGTAATATTTCAGTTTTGTATTTGTAATACATTTGCAGAAATGTCTAAAAACCTGTTTTTGCTTTGTCATTATGGGGTATAAACCATTTTAGAATAAGACTGTAACGTAACAAAATGTGGAAAAAGTCAAGGGGTCTGAATACCTTCCGAATGCACTGTACATTCTCTAACACTGTAAATACAAAGGGGATGAATTTCTCAAAGATAGCCCAGACCTTTCCAATATAACCACTTTTCACACACACGCTTACTTTCCACTCTGGGTCATTTTTTAAATCCTGACTTACTCAAACTTTTGCTTAAATCCACTTTTGACATAATTGCATGATTTAAGTAGATGTTCAAGTTACGTTAGCACATCTTGAGCCCTGAGTGAACTTTTGAAGAGATAGTTGCATGAAACAAAATGCAGCCAGGTCCCACCAGATCAACTTCAGTATTAGACGTTTGTCTAGGTCCCCAGGATGTCGGGAAATGCAATTCAATACTGTTCACTAGGGACAAAGCGAGCGCCTATTACTATCTAGTAGGCTTCCTAGGGCATGGTAGATGGAGATAGAGGAAGGGTTTAAACCGTGAGCTATGGTTCTGAAGCTCATGGGTTCAATCCCAATGCTAGGCACTTGTTTGTATTTATTTTCTGTTTTAACCCAATCCCAAACCTTAACCCTTACCTTAACCAGTCTGAATTAATCCCTAAATGTAAAAGTCAAATTAGTTATGTTTTTATCCCTATCCCAAACCTTAACCCTTACCTACTTTCACATCAGCATTGATGTTTATCAAATGGTGTGGCTGGTACTTGTAACTGGTACTGTTAAGTACCTACTGCTCTGGAAGCTGTCAGATGACTGAAATGACAAACTACCAACTGTCATTTTGGGATATAGCTGCTTACCTATAATACATGTGGAGGAGGTGTGTGTTTGTGTATGTTTTGTGTGTGTATAAAGGGATTGAGAGAGAAAAAGAGAGAGAAAAATAGGGAGATGGAGGGTAAGGAAAGAGGCGAATAGGATGAGGTGAGGAAGAAGGAGGTGAGATGGCGAGAGACACGCGAGAGGAGATAAACAAACAGGGTCATTTAGATACCTCAGGAGATCCCTCTCTTTTTAACACTCTCCCTCTTTCTCAATATGGCAATTCATTGTTTTCATGGCTGGAGAGAGTGAGGGAATAGAGGAGGGAGGAGGAGACTCATGCAGAGAAACAGGTAGGAATTCCTCAGATGTCTCCAGGAGTAGAGAAAAGAAACATGTGGAGACTGGTTTCTTTCAGGCTCAGCGCTTACTGAAAAAGATGAGCACAACATGTCCAAAACTATTACACACTTGAACCTTGACATTCGTTAATGGCTGCCAAAGCATACAGCGGCAAATGATGTACGGTGAAATTGATTGAATGTTTGTGTGGATTATGTACATGTGTGGTTAGAAATAGTCCCATGAGAGTTTACTTTAACAATAGCAGCATAAAAATGGCATACCTGTATTTTTTCACATTTTGCGATTATGAAGGAACAATTTGTTCTGTAAGAGGATTATAGATACAGTACATTATTGCAGTGCACATGCAGGGTTTAATTTAAATTAAATATCTAACTATGATAAATTAGATCTGCTATTGATATACAGTGTGTACGTATTTTTCATGCTGATAATCACAAACAATTATAGTGTGCAGGGTTTTGTGTTCGTCCACTTGATTAATAAGTCATGACCTAAGGCTTGGTTCAAGTGATCATCCCGTTCCTTCACATGTCCACCTTCCTAATCCTAACATCCTCCCCTCTGTATTCCAGGAAGACAACGAGATCCCCTCCAGCGTGTTCATCAAGGACTCCCCCAAGACCCCCCAAGCCAGCCAGATAGAGGACGATGCCCCTGCGGCGCCTGCCCTGTCCGTCGCCGGGACAGACGCCAACCGGTCCCAGGAGGAGGGTCTCCATACCATCAGCCTGTCCTCCTCCGACGATGATGCCGGGGGTCTCCACGAGGAAGACGAAGCCCTGGAGGGTGAGGCAACACTGGGCCTGGGAGCGGCCCGGCCCTCCTCTGAGAGATCCAGAGCAGACCGGCTGAAGCGCTCCAGCCTGAAGAAGGTGGACAGCCTGAAGAAGGCTTTCTCACGCGAGAGCATTGAGAAGAAGATGAGCAAGATCGGCACCAAGATTGTGCCGCCCGCGAGCCGCGAGAAGATCAAGAAGAGCTTCACACCCAACCACCCGAAGAGCCCTGCCGCCAAGAGTTCCTCCTTCAAGGTGTCGCCCATGACCTTCAATGTGAAGAAGATGCGTGGTGAAGGGGAGGACCCAACCCAGCCCGGAGGCTCGCCTAGCGGGCATGCCCACGTGGAGATCCCTCCCCTGGGAAGCATGGATGGGGATCTGCCTCTGGCCGAGGTGCACTCCAAGGAAGGGCTAGGTGTGGAGGGAGGAGAGGAGCTGGCTAGTCCCTCTAGCACTGGGAGCGTGGAGGTTGAGCTGACCTTCAATGGAGAAGCGGGGAGCCTTGAGTGTGACCTGACCACTGATCGTCGGGCGGGGCTCGCTCTCCCGGAGCATGATGACGATATTGGGGAGGAGGATGACGAAGAGGAGGAGCAGGAGAGCCCGGTGGAGGTGAAATCCCCCATACCTGCTGCTACTGGAATTACTGTGGAGCAAGCCTCTTAATCTCATCCATCTCATCCTTTGCTCCAGCACACCCCTTGCCCTCTTCATGTTACCATGCCAACAGTATAGTCATCCCTCCATCTTTCCAAACCATTTTTCCGAGAGAGACACACATGCGCACATACGCACGCATACACACACACGGACACACACACACACACACACAATGTATACACAACATGAAAGAAGTGTCCTCGGCAGACCTATTTCTGAAAAAACTCAATCTCCTGTGCCAGCAATACAGGGCATCCCCTTGCAGCCCTCCTTCGCCTCCAGCCCTGCATGCATGATTTATCCAGGAGATCCATGGGATGATCCCAGATCACCAACCTCACCTTTAGAGATCCTGAGTGACCCAGAGTTATCAAGAGTGATCAAGAGACCCTGCATCAGTTGCTCCTGCCTGGTGTGTATAACTAGCTACCCTTCTGTGGGGCTACCTTAAGAAAAGAACCAGCGTGCCAAGAGACTATTACTCACCTTCCCAACTGGAACATTGCTTCTGTTTCAAGAGAACAGCACATCTCCAGTACACTGAGCCAACTATCTCTCTCTATTTGTCTGTCTCTGCATGGGCCTCTCTGTCTGTCTGACGGATAGTCTCTTTGTTCCTCTGCCTCATGTGAATGCCGGTAAATCTCTGGCAAAAAGGGTAAAGCCCCACAGTTTGGGGATGGTAGCCTGTTGCCAGGTAGTCTGGGCATTGGTATGGGTGGTAGCTAGGTTTCTACAGTAAGGTTTGTGTAAGGCTGTAGTATGTTCAAATGCTATGTCTGAAAATAGCTTCTTATCTTCATCAAGGATATTTTTATTATTTCAGAGAGCAGGTTCAAAGTAAAAAGGGGGATAGGGAGGAAGTACGATGAGGGAAGGAAAGTCGTTTAGAGTGTTGGGATGAGTCAAATACATGATGTGGCAAATGCGGTGCGCTTCATTTCACTTATAATGCAACCACTGGAATAGTCCCAAAAAGTGCTAACTCTGCACCTCAGGCATGCGGGTCAAGCTGAATCAAGCGCACCTCAGGTATTTGAATGTTTGTGATACATGTATTTGACCCATGTCTGGATGTAACCATACAAGCTGAGTGCAGGGAAATAGCCATAGACTTGAGGCAGTTTTGTGCCAACCCTACCATAGTTTATTTGCCATAATAAATACTCTCACTAAAACAGCTTAAACAACTGCTTGAAAGTGGTTAATGGTTCACTAGGTACAGACCACACCAACATTTGGGGAGAGTAAATTGATATATCTGTCTTAGGTTAACGTCTGCTGGAGCAGCATTGAGACAGGAGAAGATAACCTATGACCTTAAAGGCTCTACATACTGGGACTTTCCTAAACCACCCTATATCAGGGCAATTATAATCTTACATATATGTACATATTAGATTATGGGATTATCAGCGGGTATAACGATTTATATAGAATCATGTTTATTGAATACTGTCAACATTTATTGGGTACTGTCACCTGAGTATTGTACTTCCATAATAGTATATGTGGACTTTTGGAGTTGATCACTCACATAAACAAGGTTTGCATAGCACTCACATAAACAACGTTTACACACTCTTATATGGTTGAAACACACACACACACACACAAAACCTTAAAGGAAAACTCCACCCAAAAACAATATTTTGGTATTTATTTAGTCCATTGTTGATATAGTCCCAAAATGTTTTGCATGTCAGCAATCAAGTTAAGATATATACCTTTCAAAATAAAGAAATACAGCTGGTATGATGATTGGTGGAATTTTCCTTATTAAACTAGCACACATTTACAGAGGCACCCACACAGACACTCACACACATGCTCCTACACATTTTTACATTTACATTTACATTTTAGTCATTTAGCAGACGCTCTTATCCAGAGCGACTTACAGTTAGTGAGTGCATTTTTTTTTTCTTTCATACTACACGCACGGAAGCCTTCAAATGTAGGACTTCACAAGCTGGCGTGAGTAATTGCTGTCCTGGAGCAAGCAATTCCTGCATGTTTTAGAAGATAAGAGTGATAGTGAAAGATTCCATTCCTTTAAGTTGTCTCCTTTCGGAATCTACTCGCTCGTATCACTATGGGAGGATAGCTCATCTAATCTATGTGCAGCACTGGCCACTAACTTGTGGCTACTGTTTATACGGTGTCATATCCATGAGATGGGGGGAAAGGAATTTAAACCCCTGTATAGGGAGTATATATCAGCCTGAACTTCATGGTTAGCATCCCCTGGCCTTTCTGATGACAAGTGCCTTGCAACCAGTCAATGCCTAGTACACACTTAGGGGCCTCCCAAAATATATAGGTGCCTAATGAAATGTAATGTAAAACGGAATGAAACCATTAAGCAGATGATGATTGTATTTTATTTCTCCGGCGAGAGAGAGATGGGAAAGAGAGAATGAGAGGCAGAGCAGAGAGGCATTCCTGGGTTTGACAGATGACTCCTTGGCAGCCCATTTTTCATGCACTGCCCTCTGCCTGGACGTGGCGGCAGGGGGAACTGGGGCCCTCATGGGCCACAGGTGTGTTGCCCCCAGGGAGGCCCCTGGGCACTGACCCACTAGGAAGGAGGGGAGGGGGATAGAGTGTGCCTGGGCAGGGAGGGCAGAGAAGGGGAGGGGTAAGGAGGGTAAAGAAGTTAGAAAAATTCTATTTTTTGGACAGTGTGAGTAGACCAGAGAATGAGACAGGTTGCGTCCCGATTCTCCACACTCAGTATCATGAATTTAACAATGGTGAAAACTCTTTCCAGCTAATGCCAACACCAATTCAATTATTTGAAATGCATGATGGGGATTGTGCAAATGCACACTTTTGGAGAATCAGGACGAATCGGGACTCGAGTTTTGAGAGGAGGTATAAATTGAAGAGAGATGTGTCCACCTGTTTGCTCACCTGCATGGCCTTACATTTTTTACCACAAGCTATACACTCTTTATCTATCCATCACAGAGACATCTTCTCCTCTTTCTCTCCATGTTGCTCTCTCACACACACACACACACACATATTCTCTCTCCCCATTTCTCATTATCTTTCTCTCACTCTCTTCTAAAGCACAGCCAATCTCCAATCAGTGGTGTGTATTCATGGAGACCAAGGGAAGCCATGCTTCCCAAAAAATTGACCAACAAAAAAAATTGTATCTTTGTTTCATAACTTTCCTTCAATTCGCAATTCACTGGAGAAAGCATCCGTTCCAGCAAAACAGCACCCCTCTGTCTCTCTACGTGTAGGCCATCTATCTGATGCTGTCTGGTCCAAACGAGCATGACATTGTTGCCGCCCGTAGCATTGAATGCAAGGGAAGCCAGCGAGCATTTGGCCTCACTTGATAAAAAAAGTATTTAAAAAATGTGCCAATCAGCATTGAGCTAAACTGAGCGAGCTCAACTGTAAATTAATTGTCCTGGTGCACCCAAAAAAAAAAATGTCAAGGGAAGCCAGCTTGGATTTTGGCATCACTCCTATCAAATCGCATTGAGAACATATGTCATTGACAGAAACAACTTGAATTGTTGCATCTCGTTGTGTTGTTGTCCTCCGGTGGCTGGCTAGCTAGCTAATTGGCATTTTCCTAAATTAGCCATGGATGGACAAAGGGATTTGGACTTGTGGTTGTGCTTAATTCTGCGTACTGGCCAATGATTATAACAGCAATTCTGATCCAACCATTAATTCACACATTGTTGTGCCCCTTGCCTGAGGATGGAAGTTCAATATGTAGCTAGATGTAGAAGGCTAATGTTAACGATCTAATGTTGCCGATGAATGGAAGTTAGGCTAGTGAGCAAGCATTTTAGCCAGGTAGTCTAGGACAACAAAAAATAAGAGTGTACTGTGTGATAGACCGTTTCTTCAACATGAAAGAGAGGATGGCATTGGCGTTTCTCTACAAGTAGGGTATTTTTCTACTTGTACGAATGCGCGCACATACACACACAGAAATCATAACCATGGACAGCCACATCATATTTAGCTTACGTTGATTGGACTAAATTGTTTTTGGTATCTTTTAGTTGTCTCTGTATTACACAAAGCAGAGGTGTGATTTGATGATGTTGAAATGTTGAAGTTGAGATGGTGCTGGAATAGTGGAGGCAGCACTTTGTGGACTTGTGGACAGAGGTTGCTATCCGGTTGCTATCCACAAATGTGTGGTTGAATTTATTCTGCCACTGTGTTTTCTTATTGTCTCAGCCTTTAGGCCTAATATATATATATATATATCACGGTCGCAAGGCATATTAATGAACAGGTTAAAGAGCAAACAACGCAATAGGTTGTAATATGGCTTTTGGGCTTGGCTTCCCCAGTGATTTTACCCACGCACCGCCACTGTCTCCAATACTTACTTAAAAGTGTAAAATATCATGGCATTGCAACCAGAGCAACCATTTGTCATATTTTCAAGACATAAATATGTCCTGGGTTCACACGTCCAGGTGAACACATGAAATACCACTGTTGATCCAGAAGTTGAACCCTACACCGCACCAGTATATATCCAACAAAGTAAAATGGTGAAGTTGTTAGTCATTACAGAGGTCTGGTAAATAAAGAATGTGATGAAAATTCTAGTTTTCTAAACAACGCTTTAGGGGGAAAGAGAGGCAAGAAGACTTTCCTGGAAATATCCCATGGTGTATTATTGTCTGATGAAAAGTGTTTGAATATTGAACCTATAGTGGAGGGCAAACACACATGATGAAAAGCAGAAGTATAAAATATTTACACATTATATAATGAAATGATAAGCCTCCTATCTGTAACACAGTAGGGGACAGCGGGGTAAGCTGAGCATTTTGTTACATTCAGCATCACTCCGTCAAGGGAACGTAGTATCCTTTCTAACAAAGATGTCTACATACACTGAGTGTACAAAACATTGGGAACACCTTGCTAATATTGAGTTGCACACCCTTTTTCCTGCAGAACAGCCTCAATTCGTCAGGGCATGGACTCTACAAGGTGTCAAAAGCTTT